TTCCGTGAACGGCCGACTGTTGTGTGACGGCAAATGCTGCGGCTGCAAGGTATTGTGGGGCAGCATTTTCTCCTCTCCTTTCGGTTAGGGAGGTCCAGTGGTTCCTAAGCTAAAGGAGGTTATAAAGGAAGTTTGAAACCTCCTTTCCTATCATTCTGGAGAATTGGAACGGCACTTAACATGGCTGCCACTGACGTACTTCCTGGTCATTTCACTCGGTTAGGAAGGTTCCTAAGCTAAATGGACTATTCGAACGCAACCTCGGTCTCCGTGTGCACAGACAGGGCTGCTGTTAACGTTGGTCTGTACAACGGAATTGTGCCAAAACTACGCCAACCAGCTGCGGAGGGAGACTCCCCCCCTTCACTGGAGAACTGCGCTAAAACAGCTGATCACAACGTTCACGCTCTGTGATCAGCTGATAGAAATTAACACGTAATGAATTAAGACCCCACGGTTTGATGATTGATAGGTGCTGTCTTTCATTTTGACACACAGAAAAATGTATATATATATCCGCCTTCTTTCATTTATCTTTCCATTCCCACAACAATATACATAAAGAAATGGCATATTTTGGACATAGTTCGAATGGTGATTAATCATGATTAATTAATTTTTAAGCTGTGATTAATCTGATTAAAAATTGTAATCGTTTGACAGCCCTATTCATAACGCAAACATAACTGACATACACTTGACAGATGATGAGAATGTGTTACTGGATGTTGCAAAAAAAGCCATTTGCTTAATATTGGTCAAAATACTCATTAATTATTCTAATGAAAAGACAATTACTTAACCACAAAGTTGATAAAAACGATAAAGCTGATGATTACAATCAAACAGACAAAGCAAATGGAGCAGATGTATCGCACAGTGATGCACAATTCCCGATGATGAAGCAATGGGCTTTAATGAGCCTGCAGAATTTAACGATGGCCAGGTGTTTAGATTTGCTGCTGAGTTATGAACATTTGAACAGCTCTCTAATTGTAAGTGAATAATGCAGCCATTTCTTCTTTGCCTAACAATAAAGGCACCCAGCATCTGTGAGGCCTTCGTGTTGTCGAACAAATTAGAGGCGGCTCCGTGCTAACACAGCTCTGCTGATATGCGTGTTATAAAAGCCTAACGCATAATAAGGCAGAAGATAAATTGTGTGTCTTTTATAATTGAGTTGAAGGCACCGACTGTGATTAATGTGTTTAAGCTCAGCTAGGGCTGCTTGAGTGCAACAGCACTGCAGGTAACACAAACACCCAGTCAGCATGTGCTGACACTCAGATTGTATGAACGTCTCTGAACTTACTGGAGGAGGGACAGGCAGATATCTCAGACGGACACTCAATAGGCAATGATGCTTTAGGCTGTGGGACAACAGCATAGCAGTTCACGTATTTATGTTGGCATGCTGTAACATATTGTGGGGCTATGCCCAAATGCACTACAAAAATTAATAATTTGACAAAAATGTAGTTTGTGTGTAGAGAATCTGCTTGGGTGGATAAATATATTTCAATTCTTGATACTGAATTGCTGAATGACTGAAATCTTTGACATCCTCTTTCATTATAACTCAAGTAAAACTCAGTAAACTGAGTTTGTTTAGAAGAGACTCTGACTTACTTTGTTCTGGGCAGGCTGAAAAATAAAACTATAAAGCTAAACCATGGAGTACTGTCCCAAAATGTGCGACCATAAATACTTAAAAATGCTATCTCAACAGCTCACCCGCTCAAAATCCTGCTCTGTTTAAGTGGCATCTTATTATTTCTTTAGCATATTTTGAGAAACCACATTAGCACAAGAGAAATAAAGTGTTTTTCCGCCAAAAAATACTCTTCTGAATATGCCACCTCAATTAAAGTTTTTGTTTAAACTAGCCATGCTAGCTGCTTTATGGTAATGTGATCATACATACTAATTAGCTCACAATAGCAATGCTAACACTTTAATTCCTGTGTTTACCATCTGTGTTTAGTGTGTTAGCTTGGCAACTTTACTAATTACAAATGTTACACAATATCTAATGTGTAATTATGAACCAGTAGTTGTTTAGCCGTTTCAATCTGGAACAAAGCAGTAAACTGACATGTTGCTAGGCTACAAACAAACAGTTATGTAGTGGGAACTATTGCAGCAGTACATCAACTTCTCTTTGTTTTTAAAGTTATGCTGATGGATATGGACACTTTGATACTAACAATAGAATGACATCTTCTTCTGAATCTCAGGAAAAATGAATACTACCAAAATTTCAAAGAATAAAAAAAAAGGAAACATTCTCTCAGGTCCACTTAACCACTACACCGCTCTCAATCATTCAGACACTCTTTAGGAGAAGAGCTGTCATATGTTCCATCATGTTCTCAACAGAAGCACCCTGAAAGAGGCAGTCATGAATAAATCATATATGTCCTCGTCTTTATTATTAGCTCTCCATTAAGAGGAAATTGCAATTGTTTAATAACACATAGATGCAGTATTTTGATGTACACTTCAACTTTTTAATCATATGCACAGTTGAGTTGACACTCAAGAAAGAGATGACACCGAAGTGGGATCTGTATGAAGAATAATATATGGTGAAGACGCAGCAAAAAACGAATAAGATGTGTTTTAGTGGAGCCATGTGGAGAAGACAAACTCCTATACCGCAGAGGGCCAAATTACCTGCTACAGAATATACCGCCTGCATACAAACAAAAGCATTAAATAAGCATTGGCAGAATACTTGTATAAATCAAAAGGGAGCACACACCAACACTGCCTCCCCATTTGAATGTCCTCACTCCTGGGGGTCATTTACTCAGCTCTTCAATTATTTATTTGTAAATTTAGTATCACTCCAGATCTCTCTTGGGGACAAAATTATACTCTCCGCAGGGAATCAAACCTCCGGCTATAATGGGTTTGGTATTCATCAGCACTCGCGTCAATGGCAATTAAGGACTTAATGGCTCCCAGGCCAAAAAAGAACCACACCACAAAGTACGCTGGGCGGAGATGTTCAACAAGCTAAAGCTGCGTGGTTTAAGTGGATGCATGTGCATGGAGGTATCAGGTGAACTAGGTTTCTTTAGAGCTCATGACAATAGGCCCTTTCAAGAACAGCCATATGGTTTCCTCGTTATAAGAAGACACAAGTGTCATAAAGATGTGCTAGAAATGCCTCAGGAACCAAAAGGATGGCCATCTTGACTTTGAAGTAGACAGTAATTTCTAATCCCCTCCAGCTAAAGAAATGCTAATGTGCTGGTTGTTGGCTATCACTTTCCAGCTAGCATGTGCCAGCCCCTTATTACCAAAAAGGTTGACAGTTTAATGAGCCCCTTGCTTGTTGTCGGCATCGCATTGTGAAATTGCGCCTGCTGCCACATTGTGCACGCCCACTTGAGCACACCGCGCAACCAATCATTAATTTGCCGTCTCTTCTTTAATTCGAGGAGCCTTTGTCACCTATTCCTGTTCCTTTGTTTAGCCCGAACATTTAGCATGCCACTTATTGTTCAGCCTCTCTGTCCCTGAGAGCTGCCTCATTCTGTGTAATAGTAATTCTGTGTGAGGCATGCCTTGCATTGAGGATACTGACGGGAACTTGAACAGGTCTTTCGTTGTTGTTACGGAAAAGTCATCCCTGGTTGTTTGGCAAGTCAAGTTCAGGACTGTTATTTAACATCAAATATCTGGCGGATTTTCATGCAGAATGGTTAGAGTACAAGGCACATCATTTGCTATTTGTTATTTTCAACAGTAACATTAAGTTGTGGACCTTAAATTATAAAAAATACCAAATATATGCCTTATACCCCATTAAAAACGTGATGCAACTGAGCCTAACTGAAACAATGAAAGGGTGCTCCCTAGTGGCAGCATGGGTGCATTCGAGACAATACAATAGGTCGACAGTAATCGTCATGCTGCAGCCACAGGCCTTAATGGTGTAGATAACAGTGGATAGCTGATTGCCCAACTTCTGGTTGCAGGTGGCGCCCGATGCAGAGCTTCAGTCTCTGCTTTTTGTCTCATCACTTCACCGCTCCCCTTCCTTCCATCTCAGCGCACTGCCGTCTCAGTGCCTCAGAGAGTAAAGTGACCCTTTTTTAAAGAAAAACTCCCTGTGATTGATGGACTTGAGAGAGTAGCACTGCAGGTGGTGCTGTCAAAGTCCATTTATTTCTTTGCCAGTGCCAGGAGGCCAAACCAATCTACCCCCTCCTTCTTCTATACAAAAGTGGGTCCTTCTTTTAAGTAGCATTCAGATCTCCTGTAGTTGGAGAGTGTTCTTGTGCTTATACCTCATGTATGCACTGAGTAGCTTGGAGGTAATTGGCTACTTCACACAATCTAAAGCTCATTTCCCCTTCCCACAAGCCCCCATCCTCCCTCCCTCTCAACAACTGCCAATCCTGCCGGTAACTCATTTGATGCTGACTCCCTACTGACAGCCGATCATTTCTCCCTCATTTGGGAGAAAAGTCATAGTCTATTGACGTCCTCCCAGCGTGGAGCAACATCAAGAGAGGTCTTGTCTTCCAAAGAGCTTTCATGATGCACACTTCAATTGATATTTAAAAGGTGTACTTAAAGAAAGACAGAGGTCCCTTTCAACAGAATACAACAAACGTTTTCCAGTCTCAGTGGGCAGGAAAATGCTTAGAACTCCTGAGTTTATTTTGATAACAGTGCATTTATTTTGGTTTATATATTTCCCCTTCGATTACCTCAAAAGGAACTAAGAGTTAGGGTTGGACATTTGCCAGGCAGGCAGGGTCTTTAAAATAATGATAATGTTCCTTTGTAACTCCTGTCTTCAAATCAACTTAGAAAGTGTATATGTCAGTGTTGTGTTTCCACTTCCCCCAAGTGGCCAACAATTAGTATTTGCAGGTTTAAAGGGACAAAGATGAATTATTGATTGCCCCATAAAAGGCTAGAAAGTTAGGTTGTATTTGCAGCTTTTGCTCGGCCAGGTGGAATACACATCAGCTCACCACTCAGTCTACATTACTGCTCCCTGGTAAGAACACTGGAAAGAGCGCAATCATAAATTCTCCTGTTTTCATTTGGGTGAGAGAATGGATTGTATTGCCCACAGCAGCACCACTTCTCGTTTGGGATGAAAACAGTCTGCGTTATCGTGGTGTAGACTGACTCACCGTGCTGGGCCTCCCTCTGCCCCAGCTCCTGCCTGAACTGCTGCCGCTGCTCCTTCATCCTGGCCAGCTCCTGGCTGCTCCCCGAGCTCAGGCTGTGTAGCCTCTTGGCCAAAGCATCCAGTCTGTCCCGCTCAAGGTACACCGCCTTCATCTCAGCCTTCATCTCCTTGGCACTGCTGAAGTCATTACCTGCAGCAGCGCATCACAGGAGAACATTAAGCTTATAACGCCCATTAATGAGCGCCACGATCATTAATAGCATCATTAGGTGAAGCTAATGGTCGACGGTTTCAGTAAATGAGGTAAATAGAAGACGGGAAATGTATGAATTGACGGTTAAGCGGGGAGTTACCTGAGATGGCCGCCAGTTTGGCTTCATGCAGTGCCAAAAGCTGAGTTTCTGTCTCGCTTACTTTCCTCCGCAGGCTGCTGCCCAGCCTCTGACTCATGACCACCTGGGGAAAAGGAGGAGAAGAAGAGGCTGAGAAAAGAGCCGGGGGGGAGGGCGGTAACTAACAAAACCTTTGCAGACACATGGATCCCACAGGATGCACAGTTTATTTCCAATTCCGCTTTCATTTTCTTTTCTGACACTTATTCTTATAAGACCATACAGATTCATTTCCGTCCTCCTGTGCTTGCCCTGCTTTGAATACACAGCAGAGCATCAACGCCAATGTGTTACCTTGTCCATAACCTTTAGAAATAAAGAGACTACGTCGCCTTTCACATGGACTGACACGGAAATGTGAAATCTCCATAAAAGATGCCATTAGAATGTCAGAGAGAGGGAAAAGGCCCTGAATGTCACGGTCCTGATGGGGATGCAGCACCTTAGCTCGGCTGTATTCACAGAGGAGTTGATGGCTTCAGATACAGCCTGTCTGCCCCCCATCTGCCCTCAGTCTGCCCTTTAAACCTCTCTTCTGTCTAATGCATTCACTTTGAGTGACTGCCAGATACAATACCCATGATGCGTCTCCTTCCTTTGAGGAACTATTTTCAACACTCCAAGGGATTTGGATTTTCTCACGCATTTTCCTCTTAAATCTGACACAGTTTTGTGCTACACTTTGAAAAGGCCGTCAAATATCTGAGGCAGAACATCTCAAGGGAGTTCTCTTTCCAATGAAATACAGAAAACTGTTTTTTTATTTTCTTCAAACAGCCTTGCATAATTTTATTTCATGCTTTACATGAAGTGGAAACTGCACTGGAGTGCTTTCCAAACTGTCGAATTTCTGACATTGGTGATTTGATTTCAAAATCTCAGGCTATTTGTCAAAGTCTATTGAGAAAGTGAAAGCTACTTTCATGGCAATTTAATTTGTCACAGCAGGTGTGCCGTGCACATGGTGGATATGTCTAATTTAGCAACAAACGTCAATTCAACAATGGAGAATCTTATACCGCCTTGGTAGCTGAGTGGTTAAAGCACATGCCATATACGTAACTGCAAAATAATGTGTTTGAATCTTGCTATCATACTTCTCTCTCGCCACCATTTCTTACAGTCTCCTCTGTCAAATAGAAGTCATTTCAAGAAACACACCATCTTGAAATTGAGGTAAAAGTGTGACTTGTGGAAAGACTGCATGTTCCATAAAGGTGCAGTTGCAGCTTCGACAAACCATTTGATGATCGCTTCCTGAAGGACACCGTAAGAGCTGTGCCTCGCTCCCACTACCCTAAAACCACCACTCATATGGGTTTCTGCTGTTTCTATCTTTTTTTAGCTGCAGAGATAAACAGTAGGTATGTATGGAGATTAGTGAGAGGAAAAACCAACAGCACATAGAAAGGGAAGCATGCAAAGGAATACACGCACAAGAAAACCGCACAAAGCAGTGCTGGCTTAACATATACCTAACTTAACATACACCTATCAAATCTACTGGCTGTAGCTGCTAAAAAGTGAAAGAAAAACTGCTTAAATTAAATCAATATGGAACTAATTCACATGCTTATAGCCATAAGAATTCCCCCAAACATGTGACAGATTTTTTTTGAAAGACGAGAGCTCTTACATGACTCTTACATGCAACTATGGACAGTTCTCTGCCTTCTCAAATAAATAACTTGTATAATACAGACACTAACAATATGTATGCATATTTTATACACAGACGTTGGGACACAGTACATGCTTTCTAGTTTGACTTACTAGTCATTACATATTCACACATATTCAGTCGTTGTTGGCATGCTGAGGGGAGGATGAGCTGCTATGGATTTAATCGGGTCAGAGTGGCTTACTTTAGCAGTGGCTTCCTTGATGGACAGATTCAATGCCTGCTCCTGCTCCTGGAGTCTGCAAAAAGAGAAATAAAAATGTGACAGTGTAGTATTAGAGGTTGATTCTTTCTTTTGAGGGCTTCAAGAGAAATCATTACAGGTATATGTCAATCATAGGAAATATAAGTCTATCAGTAAACTCTAGTATAGTGCGGTTTATCAACCAGCAACAAAGAATTTGAATATTTTATAAATTATAATCACATTATACTAACTAACTAGTGAGTTTTGCTCAAAAAAGGAAAACCAAGTTAATAGATGATATCATATCATTAAAGCTCTGATGCTTTATTACTTAGAATCAGTTGGAAAATGTCAATAACTGTTACATCTGTCCTAAAAATATGAAGCTCAAGCCAGCAGCTAGTTAGCTTAGCATGGGGGAAGACAGCTGGGCTGGCTCTGTCGTTACACAATCTATCTTCCTTCAAAAGCTCACTACCCTACACACTATACTGTGTTTTAAAACTTAGTGTAACAACAGAAACTGTGCTTTTATGGAAGTTATGTGCCAGACTACTTTTTGTCTGGATTTAGTGACCTCTGACCCGCTGCTGGCTGTTTTTCTGTATTTAACAGACATATAGTGGCATCAATCTTCTCAGCTAACTCCGGGCTGATTTCCCAAGATGTCTAACTATCCCTTTCATTTACTTATTGTTTTAGCTCTAGTAACAGTTCACCATTCCTCAGATCCAGTCTGTAGTATTACTGCCAGTTGTTATTCTCCAGTCACTGTTTTAGTCTTGATGCCTAAAATAAAAATAGCTTGTCGCATTTTTTTATGTAAATTGTCAAACAAGGAACTGAGACACCACTGTTTCTCAAATAAGGTAGTTGTCTTTTACAGCTTGAAATAAAGTGGTAAATCTGGGTAGCGCTGAAGACTAATCTGTGAGATGATTTGTTTCTTAGTCAAAGATTAAAGTCAGTTCGAATTGACCTCTGTCATGCAGTATTACGTTTTCTTACATTTGTATTGTTCTTGCAATAATGGTTTTCATTGACTGGCCCATTATAAAACTGTCTAGATGATAGTTTCAGATATCAAGGGTAATGTCAGAGATGCTATTACTGTAAATGAATGTAAACAAGACAAACCATTAAGGTCACATTATTCCGTGACAGTGATATAAATCAATTAGAAGATGGGGTAAAATGAGCATGAAATCCATTATGCAGTCACCTTGAGGTCCCAAACCACTCGTATCACAAAATGTGTGTGCCCGTTTTATGCTATTCAAGCTGATATTCAGGTTGAGTCATATTCAGATGTTGTCTCTGGACATCAGTATTACTGCACCTTATTTCAGGGATGCAGCTCCTCTGAAGAGGGTGGATTTCTTTAATCCAGTTAGGAAATAAATCTTGGTATGTGATGTGTTATTTGGAAAGGGAACTGCAAGCATAACAATCGCAATGACCCAAAGGATGACACCTGGAGATGTGCAGCTTAATATCCAATCTGAGGCCGCAATTTCAATCAGCATCAAGAATAAATGCTTTCCAGTTGGGGAAAGAGTATGTCAGATATCAAATTATGCCTGGGAGGTTGGGTCACACCACCGAGAAGGTGATAAGTACAATTTACATGTCTTTTTAATGAGTGGCAAGACAGAGAGGCTTTCCACGGTGCTCTGTTGCAAGCTATTAACTTCAGAGGATATGATGCAAAATAATCATTTGCATCTGAGAAAAACCATTAAAATTCAAAGCAGGTTCAAGCAGGTGTGAGAGAAGAGGATTGAGGGCACAGCATGGAATGGGTGGAATAAAGAAAAATTGGGTTGTGGCTGCTTAATGCGTCCTATTTGAATCTGAATACAAACAAAATATTATATACGTTTATTGCCTTTTCCTCACACCCAAGGCCTTAGATTTCTACAAAAATTGCAAGTGCACCCCTCCCAAACATCCAAGAGTGTGCAATTTAGTTTTTTTTATGTGGAAATACTACATATGTATTCCCCACTTTAATTGTATAAGCTTCTCTATGCTTTTAATGTAGATGTTAATTGGGTTTAAACATGACGGTGTGCTTTTTGACTGCTTTACTTTCTTGGCAAGAGACTAGAATATCGTTTGTTGCAGGGCGGCTAAGGCTGGGAAGCAAAGATTTTGCGAAATAGGAACTGCTTTGACACATCCTCCTCCAAACAAGCTAGTTTTATGATAGGAAAGTAAATGACTTGATACAGGGAAAACATCCAAGGACTGAGGATTGTTGTTTTGTTATTACCACTGCAGCTCTACAGCAGCCCCAAATGGTGACTGACAGTACTGCAGGAACTGTGAGAACTGTCCACTGGATGATAAGAAATTAGTACACCTGACTTTCATTTACTGTCAAAGAAAGACCTGACCAGGACTGTGAGCATATAGTTGAAGTGTATTTTGTCTCATATGATTCATTATGTATATTAATATATACAGAACCTAACATAACAATCATTTACTTATCCATTCATAGACATAATTAACAATACATTAAACTTCAAGTGGAGTCTTTAGCCAGTTGTAGATTGTAACTGGCTAAAGAACTGTACTCAAGTATACATTTGAGCTACTTCATTTGAGTATTTACATTTTCTAATCTATATTTGACAGGTAAAATATAGACTGTCTTTGACTTCCTGATACACATTCTTTCTACATTAGTTACTTTGTAAACAAACATTTTCCATATATGTATAACTCAACTAATAATATATGTTGTGTTATAATGAATAAAGCTACCCAGCAGTAAAAGTATTACTTTAAATGATGAAGACAGAAATGCATCAATAATTTAAATCCAGTAATAATGTTTTCGAGTTATGCTGTTTAGTCTCATCCAATCAACGTTTGTTTCCAGTGACCAATAGGAAGACACTTAACAATAAGGTGTGAAATACAACTATATAATGTGTGAAGATGTTTCTTCACAATACACTCCCAAGGCACAATGTGACAATTACATTTTCCACCTACATTTGCTCATTTTCCCAATAGTGATGGACTATGTAGAGCAGGTGCACATGCTCTCTGTTCATCAAAACCCTGTGAAACGTATGTCAAGAGATGTTCGCTCATTTGAATTTGAGTCTCTCATGCACTGATTGCATTGAAATTAAGACATTATCTTAAAATGTAGTATTGTGCAAGGGAACAGTAGGTTATGTCTACAATGATTCATCTTAATCAGAACAAATATCTTCCACAGTCATTCTAATCAGAATAAGCATTAATGTAAATATATGTTTTAAATTATTTTAGAATTATTCTTTGTATTTTCTTCTTGGGCATCTACTAGTTATTTAAGCATGTAATCAATCACTTAAAGTGTGCATACAGTTTCTTCAGATTGCACACTTACTGCAATGTAAACCAAGTGGTTTGATGCAAAAGTCAACAGAAAATATTCAGCACGAATCATGTGAGGCTGACCTGAGTAGGGAGGCTGAAGGTGAGACGGTGATCTGCATGCGGTTTTCAGAGGTGACGAGGTCCTGCAGGGTTCGGCTCATGTCGCAGAGCTGGGCCACGGTGCGGCCCCGCAGTACGGAGCCCTCCAGCTCCTCGGCCTCCACCTGCTGCGCCTCCAGCTGGATCTGCTGCTCCAGGCCTCGGCTGAGGTCCCTCAGCTCCGTCAGCCTCCACTGCAGCTCTGCTATCTCCACCTGCACAGGTTTCATTAATGATCCTGGTGTTCATTATCAGGTACCTATCAATGATAGTTCTGTTCTCTGGCTGTTATCCAGGAAACAGTTCTTATAATCGTTCAGTTTTAGTTGGAAAAATAGTTCCTGTTTTTAAGAAGTTTTTAGAGTCTGTTTAAAATCAGCATATCAAACTAAATTGAATTATCTGTAGTTGAACTATCCTAACAAGTACATTTGGCACTATATTCAAGTACACAAACTTTCCTTACCCTGGAATTAAACACAACTAGAAGTCTTTCTATACGTTTTTAAATGTTATCTGTATTGTATTACACGTGTTCCACATAGTGTCAGAAAATACCATTGTAAGCCTTAATGACATAATGTGAGCTATTTTTACCTCTATCAGCCGTTTCTCCTGGATCAGGCGATCTTTTTGATGCAGTGGACCGTGTGATGATTCTGACCTCTCCCCTGCATCCTGCTCCACATCCTTCCTGACAACCAGTCCCCAGAAAATACAGTCAAACCTCAGCAATGTTTTTTATATATATTTTAAAACAATTCTAACCTTCTTCACATTTTAAGGTCTTCTTGAGTTGAGCTTATGTGGTTGTGTACTGTGTACTGGGACATTAAAACGTGTTCCTTTATATATCACTAAATCTAATTGAACCCAATTTCGTACTGCTTTTCCTTCTAGCTTTTCAGCCCCAATTAAATAGAATGGAAGAATGTCTAACAGAGGTGCCCTTAAATCTTTGGGAGCATGTTTTTTTAGGTTCAAATATGTGTGAAAAACACAGCATTGCTGCTTGAGGTTACATTTGTCCAGGATACCCCCTAGAGAGGCCCCACCTGATTTCCTTCCTGTTGCAAGAGCTATTTTTGTCTTCCCTCTGAAAATGCTCTGTCCTACGACATAATAATGAAAGATAGAGCATGATCATGATCACATGACCGAGTTTATAATCAAATTTGACCCATAAAACTGGCTGCTTATACTTCCTATAGAGATGTTATTCATTCTACGAGACCCTGTTTTAAAATAAATCTCACCAGAACAAATTGTATCTGGTGCTTTGTTTTATTGTGCAAATAATCACTATGTTATAGTATCAAATGTGTGATAATTAATATGACACAAGTCTGAATAAGTCTGAATATGTCTGAAATTGAAAGCATAACAGGGAATCTTTTCTTTTTATCCAGTCACATTTAGTACTTAATTTCACTTCATGTTTCTCAAAAGAAAGTCATTCTCCATATCTATGTCATGAGGGAGAAAGATTTTACTTCAGTTTCACAACAGTAGCTTTTGAATGCTGTGATATTAATTCTGAAAAATGTTTGGCTCATTTTCATGAGTTAACACACATCATGCTGCTCATATCCAACTTGGTGTTACTACAGCAGTGTGAGTCTTGTGTTCAATGATAATGCAGCTAAAGTCATTGTTTTGTGACTGACCTGCACTGACTGCAGTCCGCCCTCTGGAGGGCGCTGTGCACCACCTGTCTGAGTCGCTCCAGGAACAGAGCCACGCTGGGCTGTCTGGAGGGCAGACCCAGCTTCAGAGCGCCTCGCTCCCTGCACAGCTCCTCCAGCTTTTTCCCAAAACGTTCAGCTGAAAACACAAACACACACACTGAATAACAGGCAGCAACATTGGCCAAAAGGTTTTGTTATTAGAAACTATGTTCAATTCCGAGAGTCTGCGTAAACTTGATGTGACTATACAGAAATCAGATTACTCTCTAAATTATAACGCATACTGTATGCCTCATTCACGGCATTCAGAATCACTAATTATTTAATTAGAAAATTATACCTTCACTATAAGAAACTTAGAGTCTTTCGCTACTAAACAGTTCTCTGCTTGCTTTTTCCAAGAAAGCATAATTCCTATAATTTAAACTTTCAGAATCCTTCTTTTCTGAGTCCTTTTTTTTTTTTTTAAATGCACTTTTCTGTTTGGCTCCCAAAAAGCCATCGGAGGGCAAAACATTAAGATCTCCATCAGCAAGGAAATCCTATTCTTTCTTGTCTACAACATTTCAGTAAAATAAGATTACATTTCATTGGTTCAACAAACTGTGGTTTTATCCCATGCAGTCTTCAAAGGTAAAACAACCCAGGAAAGCCCATGGATGCATTCTGGGCTACTTTCCTTAGTTTCACAACCTCCAGTTTAACTTGGCTAATTTATCTGATGGGTGAGCACTGTCATGTGGACATACGGACAAGTAAACACTCCAGCTTTGGATAGAGAAAGAACACTTATAGGGTTAGTTTCAGCTTGACTGATAAACTAATCATCAAACAAGAGGTATAATTTGTACTAAATTCTAATAGTAGACACATTATTAAATACGCAACAATTTAAGGAATTTTTAATCATCAAAGTTAAAGTCTCTAATGTTTCAAGATAGTATGTCAGTAAGTCGGTCAGTTCACAACAAACCAATTATTCAGCTTGAATGTGCAGCCTTGCATGCTTTATCAAAATCATAGTTTGATCTATAACTATCAGTTATCAAGAAATCCAATAAAAGCGACTGAATTACTTCCCATTACCTCTCTCTACTTAAATGTCAAACAGATGAATGCCTGGTTCCTGACTGAACAAATCAGTAATACCTTGAAATAAATTGAGAATCCCAAAGAGAACTGTATGTGAAGCTGCTGAAACTATGTCACAAGTTACATTAATTTACTTTCGACTCAAAATTTCCAAAATTAAGACTAACAACAACACTGTTCAGAAGTGGCCTAAAGAAACAGCTGTTAAAGAAACGGCTCAATTGAAAGGCTCAAGTTCACCTGCATCATAGTCATCATCCAAAATGGCTTTCTGCTGGAGCCTCTGCAGCTTTAACATCATGGACTCAATCTGAAAAGCGACACACAAGACTGAAGACAGAACATATGATGCAACAATCCAGAGGGCAATGCTCTTTAAACTGTCACCACAAGGCAAAGAGAGTGAAGGGGGAATGACCATCATTTCAACTTGACACCACGTCAGCAATTTGTGGTCTAGGTAAGTCTAGGAAGTTTAAAACCTCAATATAGTCACTAAATATTGCTTTTAGAGTGCATCTCATCAGGTAACACTAATAGAAATATATTGGTGTTTTTAAAGTCAATGTTTCCGGTACCTTCTCATTTGTCTACAATACACAATTTGTTTGTTTAAAGGCCCGGACACACCAGGCCGATTATTGGCGTCGGTGTTAGTCGGGCGACGAAGCGTGCCCTGTCGCCCAAACTCAATTTGGTGTGTCCCGCACCGTCGGCCGTGACCATAGGCCATGACATGCCTTATTTGGCCTTTCATGGCCGACGCATGGCCGATTCAACATGCGTCGGGTCGGGCAGTCGGGCCAAATAAATCACTCTGATTGGCTGTTCAGCTAGCGAATCAGTGCATGAGAAGCGAAACGGAAGTGAGGGACGTAAACAAACGCTTTAAGAAGGCACGAAGAATGTCTTCCGCAAGCAACACTCCAATGGCTGATAGCTCCAGTACCGCACAAGACATGTTTTCGATGGACGAGAGTGAAAATGGAACACACACGCTATTTGTTGTTTGTTTATATCACAGTCTGTTCTTCTTCTCTGTCTTCCGGTTGTTGCCTCTTTTGAATGACGAATACACACTACCGCCGCCTGCTGGTAAGGAGAGTTATTGCCACTCACGCATGCGCAGCTCGTACTTGCTACTTGGCCGTCGGCTAAAGTCTTCGCGGTGTGTTCCAGTGCGACTGTTGGCCAAGAAGCAGGAGTATGGAGTAAGATTTGGGTCAATATTCTAGCGCGCAAAACAAGCTACTCACGAGCGTAAAATGTGCTTTTACACGCGCATGAAATGACCCTCGCGCGCAGAATAAACCCCTGCGTGAAAAGTTTCTGACACTTTGGGGCGGAGCCACTGGACTTTGATTGAACTACCAAGAGCCGAGGAGTGACAGCAGAACATCAGTTGGACGAGATTGAATGGTAAAGTTGTCCATAAAAAACTATTATATTCGTAAAGTGTACAGCTAATATATATATATATATATATTAGGGCCGGGACTTTAATGCGTTAATTAAGATTAATTAATTACACAAAAATTAACGCGTTAAAAAAATTAATGCATTTTAATCGCACTTATTTTTGTACCGCGGAACGTTTCTCACTGGATGAGTTTCAGGGGTACCGATTATACTGGAGCACCAACTAACGTTCATGACTTCAGACAACAACAAACCACAGTGAACAATAGTCGAACGAAGAAGCTGATGAGACCGCTTTGGTTGGCCCCGTGGACGGGACATTTTGTTTTGAAAAACGTACGGATGGAAGCGTCGATAAGAGCAAGGTTGTTTGCAAATTATGCAAAAAGGAATTTGCATATCACCGCAGCACATCAAGCCTCAAGTATCACCTCAATGCAAAACCTATAGCAGCTAGCGTGGACGTTAGCCCGACTCGGAGTACAAGGACCCACACCCAATTTGCGTTGATCAAACAGTGGNCTGGTCAATTTTGAGATTTTGTGCTATTTTGATTCTATAACATGTTTTATTTCAGGCTTTTGGAAGGAAAACGTACAAAATACACATTTAAGTTTTTATTTGACAATAAAAACTTAAATGTGTATTTTGTACGTTTTCCTTCCAAAAGCCTGAAATAAAACATGTTATAGAATCAAAATAGCACAAAATCTCAAAATTGACCAGTGCTTGAAAAACGATGTTTTTGCCTGCCGTGTCTCGCCTTAAATAGTCTGACACCTGGCACTGTATTTGCCCCTGGGAACCTTCAAGGTTATATTCATGTTTTATTATTTATTTAATAATCACATGATTTTTACAAAAACATTATACACAGTATACACATATACAATAATAATAATATAACAATATACATAATAAAAACATGAAAAGTGGTGAAAATGAGAAAATGTATCCGAAAATAGTGCCTCATAATGCGGGCATGTGGACAGTAGCCAGAGACTCACAGGCACACACACATGCAGAGATCCAGGGGGCGGAGCACATGGCTTTTTTTACCCAGAAATAAGTCTCTGAGAGGCGGGGAGACTCAGAGGACGGGCTGCGTCACAGCCGCAGAGGTGCTGACGGAAAGCAGGCGGAACAAATTGATTATTTTACCCAGGAATAAATGTTTGCAAGGCGGGGAAAGTGTTCCTGCAGCCCCTCCATAACGGTAATAATGATTAGAAATGATTTCCAGGGCAGAAAGCGGTTTTTAAATGTCGAAAAAAATATTTTAAACTGTTTAAAAAGCACAAAGTGATTTGAGTGCAGTTCTCATGTGTCCCCACAGGAGGCGCATCATCCCA